TTGGAGCAGAGAGCGCTTATACATAGGATGGTCATCACCCGCACCCTTAGTCCTGGGGGTTTCTGTCAAAGAGTTCGGAGTTTCAAAGGTCTCATCGCCAGCAACTACCAATTTGTTCACGGGTGGTCGACGACTTCTTTGGCGATCGAGATCAGCATGGCTGACCTGTTCATCTCCCAACTTCAAGTTAACTATGGGGATGGAATCAATGTCCAAGACCTCGCCATTGGATGTGCTCAGAGCTTCGTGGAATGGCGTAGATGTGCCAGATGATTCTCCGGAAGGAGCGATATAGAAGGGGTCATCCTTGAAGCGTTCTCTACGCTCAAGCATTCTTCTTTGTACTGTAGTAGAGGATTCCACCGGAGGACCGGTAAAGTTTTGATATGACGCATGGGGCTGCAAATCAACCGGTGCGAGGTCACGAGTCTGCTTGTTCGGATACGAGAGTTCAGGAAGATGATAGAAGTCTGTTATTTCCCAAGGCTTTGACCCGTGCGATGATGGGCTGTCCAGGTTGCGAAAAAGTCCTGGCAGATCGTGACTGAAAGGCTCCTCTAGGCGAAGGCTATCTGGTAAGACGACCTTCCTCTGCGCAGTGGTCGCAACAGGGTTGAGTTCGAGCCCTGTGAATAGGTTTGGTATGACGGAAGCGAGAAGAAATGGTATTTTTTGTGTATCGGAAGTCAATGCCTCAGCTGCTAGGCGGAGGACTTCTAGGAACTCGATGGCTCGCTCTTGCACATCCAGATCAGGATGGGCTGCCAAACCCTCGAGGAAGTCAACGACTCGAGCAAGTAATAGCGACATCTCACTTCTCCAAAGATCTCCTGGTTCACTGGTCTGGCTAATCTGAACAAACACCTTTGGAATGGCTTGCAAAAAGAGGGAAAGAGTTCTGGGGGCGAGGGATGCATTAGAGACGTCGATCAACGACAGTAGTGTCCGATTAGGCGACAGTAGATATTCAGCATATTCACCGACAACCCAGGCGACGGGGCCTAAGACACCATCGCCGATGGTTGAACCGAAGGAGAAAAAAGTTGATCTGTTGTCGATAAACATGAGAGACTCAGCTGCCCTTGTGGCCTCCATACGGACACCCTTTACCCTTACGGCAACATTGCGAAGCTCTGTCCCTATTCGAAGCGCAACGTTCATCCTCGAATTTGGTATAGCCTCTTGCTCTTTCGGATGACTCCAATCGTCTTCACTCTCCGACGGTGGGAGAAGTCCGACTAGCTGTACTAACACAGCGACATACCACTCAAAATCAACAATTTCAGAGTAGTTCTTTTGAGAACAAAGATCCAAGATCCGGTGAACAACCTCAGTCTGGTAGTCGTTGGGCCATAAGGTCGGGGCTTTCGGGCTTTCGGGCGTATCAACCAATTCAGCTGCAGGCACAGAGGTTTGTTGCAGCTGATCTAGTAGACGGTTCACGACTTGCTGGAGAGAATCACTGTTGACCATTCCAACGGCAAGCTCCAAAGCCTGCAATCGAATAGAGACGTCCGCATCATCCAGACAATCCATAATGACATCCTGCTGCATGGAAACCAACGTTGGATGCGTAGCAACAATGCGGTTCAGCGCAAGAAGTGCGACATATTTGACTGCCTCGATGGTCAGTGATCATATATTTGAAATGCGATAAAAGGATACTCACGATTAGGGTCACTATCCATAACTATCATACCCCGCAATTTACCAACACAAAGAGTGGCAACTTCGTCCCTTTCCTGGAGATTCTCTTCTCCGTCCAAAATTCCCCCTTGAATGATACCATTTATACATTCATAGAGCAAAGACATTGCAGATGTGGTTTGAATGATATTCGTCAATGGACGCAGGAGTTTGCGAGTCAGCCTTGGCTCTAGCGGGGTTAATGTTGCAAACTAGCAGAAGTCAGAGGGTGCTCAGAAGAAAGTCATTCCATAGGGTTGGGGGCATAGGGGACTAACAAGTTTGATGATTTTGATAGCCATCCAATTATTGCCGCTATCAACCAGAAGCTCAAAGAATCGAGGTGCCAGAGGGAGGAAGTCATGAGGTCGTCGCCAACCAAGCTCACAAACGACGTTGATCGCTGCAGTAGTAACACTTCCATCCTCTTGGTCGTCCATCAAATGGTCTTTTATCTTGGGCCATGCCAACTTCAGAGCTTCAGGATACACCAAAGCAAGCCTATAGAGACAGACAATCGTCTTCTTACGCACCACAGGGCTTGAGTGCGAAAGCCGGGAGAGTAAATCAGGAAGCAAGGACATTGCTAGGGAAGGTGTGATAATGTGCGGCAAAGTGACCAAAGGGAGTGACATGTTGGGAATACTGGAGGTGACAATATCCTGTCAAGAGCATTAGCGACTAAGGGGAATTTGAAGCTATGCAGGGTACAAACCTTCTTCAGCAAGTTAGTTGCCAGCATCAGAACTTCAGTATCTGGTCGGAAGCTCTGTACTGCTCCGAGATACCCGACTCTTTTCTGGAGGTATTTGGCGGATGACATGACTTCGAGGACGTGAAAAGATGCCCATGACATGTCATACCCAAACATTTCAAGATAGATGAGCTTCAATAGGGCTGTAGCTTTTTTGTCTACTCGACATCAGCATCAAATCCATTGCCGGGTAAATAGGTAGTTAGTACCCATGTCTTGTGTTTTGATCTCGGCCTTGCATTCACGCAATGAACTCTGGATGTATTCATTTTCGCCTCCTTTGTGACCCCGGAGACCTTTTATAAGGTCATAAAGCGATTTTTCAAACCTAGGGTACTGGAATTAGTGGTGGCCAATCTAGGGCAGAAACATGGGGGTGCCCACATCGTGTCGAGCTATCAATGGTCACAAGGTCGAGTCAAGGGAAGAATAATAACGAATTCCCCTAGTAAGACTGGAGGTGCATTGTAAATTGGGCTGTCAGATCAGCCATAGTTCAGAACAAAAATGAAAGATGTTGAGTGTAAAGCAACCCAAGCTCCGCGGGGTGGAGAAGTTGGCGTTTGGGGGGATCCCCGATAAGAGACCGGATCACGGGACTCTGGCCAGTTAAGCTCTGGTGCACTCTGTTCTCTTAACATCTGTCCTAATAGGAGCACCCCTGCTCTCTCGGCTTAGCACCATTTTTCTCAAGGTCATTTGAAGCTGTGTTGTCTTTTTTTGACAGTCTATTATGGCTGGTCCCGTCGCTGATATCCGTGAGATGAACGGATCGGATCTGATCTCTGCTCTTCATCTTGCTCAACAAGCACCAGCGATCCTGGGCCAGGTATCCGGGTCTGGAGTTACCTCATCTAAATCTTCAGAAACTGCAGATTACTATGCACGATTAGAACAGCTTCTATTAGCCTGTCTTCGGACGGGAGATGATCAGTCAGCACATACCTGCCTGAATCGCCTCAGTCTCCGGTTTGGACCATCTAATGAAAGGATCATGGGGCTTCGAGGTCTGTACGAGGAGGCAACCGCCAAGGATCAGTCAGCGCTAGAGAAATGCCTGCAGGAATACGACAATACCCTGTCACAGAGTCCGGTGAATGTGGTCAGTATTGGTTACAGGTCCTGGGGTAGTCATGGGCTATGCAAGACTAACCATACACACAGCCCATCCTGAAGCGGCGGGTGGCGTTATTACGCTCGCTCAACCGACCATCTGATGCAATCTCCGGTCTTATTCAGCTCCTCGATGCCATCCCTACTGATGCTGAAGCCTGGTGTGAACTGGCCGACTTGTATCAGTCACAAGGGTTGGCTTCCCAAGCCATTTTTAGCCTCGAAGAGGCTTTACTCATTGCTCCTAACTCTTGGAATGTATGCATGCAGGCACCTTTTTTTCTTTTTCTTTTCTTTTCTTTTCTTTTTCAAATCAAATGGTCGCTAACATTAAAATGTAAGATCCATTCCCGCCTCGGTGAACTGCTATACATATGCGCCTCCGATGGGGACGCATCCCGGCTCCTTGGGAGGTCGGTGCAACATTTCAGTCGAAGCATTGAGCTTTGTGACGACTACCTGCGAGGATTCTATGGGTTAACTTTGGTAAGTCGGCAAATAATGGTATTGGCTCATTCCATTCTAACCCGGGTTTCCCCCGTAGGCCTCAACTCGGATGCTTGACAATGATTACGCTGGCGTATCAGGTCAATTTCCCAAGAAGACCCTAGAACGATTGAAGGCCTTTGCGCTCCTAAAGTTAGGCGAGATTGTTGAGTCACGGTCGATCGATGACCAATATTGGGCATCGAGTCGAAGCGAGCTGATTGCAGCCAAAGAACTACTGAATCGCCAGTGAAGTAATTATTCAGGCGGCTCAAAACTAAGCCTTCTGATTCGAGCATACCCTAATAAAACAGATCTGTTGAAATCTAGAGTGTTCGATTGTTGTACATATGTATGGAGTAAGGTATGGGGCATTGTACGGGGAGTGGATCGGAGTATAGAGATATTGGGCATTTCCGTTTGGGCAGCAGATTGAAACGAGAAAAAGATGGTTTAAGAAACACACAAAAGAAAATGCCCAATGGGCTTGATGAAATATCAGATTCGAGAACTAAAAAAGGGCTTCTTCGTTCTGTTCTGTTTCTTTTCTTTGATAGATATCTGTACCCCTGAACTTGTTGTCCTACATACTTTGTACTCCATATACTCCTACGCTGTCCTTCTTATACCCCCTATCCCGTTTAAAAAGGGTGTTTGTTTTTGTTTTATATTTCTTCTGTTCTTTCTATTCTACTCTATTCAAAGAGATCCGATCAAAAGAAGAGAAAAAAGGGACAAAAGACAGAAAAAGCAAAGAGAGATAATTCGTCCATGCGCAAATCCCCCGCGATCATTTTCACCTGACATTTTTTTTTTTCCTTTCTCCCTCAACTTTACACGTCTGGTCAAACCCTACTTGGGTATTCCCTCCTCACTTCGCGCATGCGAGAAAGTGGGAGGACAAGTCCTTGTCCTTGATATATACATTTTTTAAACCTCTGAAAGGCTTCTCATTGTCTCTATGACGTATGTTTGGGTTTTGTTTTCCTATATCCCCCTCCCCCTTCTTTAAGAAACTCACTTTCTCACCCTTAACTCTTTTCTCTACAGGCTCAGTATCTCGATTGATCCAGATCCCCACGGCTCGGATCGCTCTTATTCCGACGACGAGGGCTCGTCTGGTGTCCATGTCCCTACATCTTCCGAGTTAGAAAGTCATGAGTACCAGGATTATGATGAGTGGGCGCATTTGCCATATCCGGATGAATTGAAACCATCTGATTCAGCCTCCCGACCAAGAACTTCGCACCGCAGTCGTCCGCCCCACGGTTCACGCTCCGCTTCGGGCCGTCGCCCAACATCGCGACGTATGGTTCAGGAACACCAGTCGTTCGCCCCTCGAGGCCGAAGACAACAATCACCAGATTCTCCCGATAGTGCCGATTCCGCCGATGAGTACCCTCTCAATTTTGGTCGAAATGATCGGAGGGGGTGGCAGCAACCTATGCCACCCGCCCCTGGATATGCCCCTAGCCAGTCCTCTGGTCCATCTTATACTCCCTACCCTCCTCCCCCACCCCCGGGCCATGGCCCGTATGCCCACCACAATCCTCCTCCGATCACATCGGAACTCATGAGAATTCCTCACCCGGGCCAACCTAACCCCTATGGTGCTCCTCCGCCTTACGGATACCCACCCCACTTTCAACCTGGGCCTCATTTTCTTCCCGATCAACCGCAACTTCATCCACGACATGCGCCTCGCCAGCCGCCTCAATTGCACAATCCAATGCCGCCAATGCCGCCAATGCCGCACGCGATGGGTCCCCACGGTATCCATTCCCCTTACCCTGGATATCCCCACGAGTTAATGGCCTACGGTCAGACTGGTTTCTATCGAGATCAACCCAGCTATTTCGGAGGACCGATCCCGGGCATGATGCCTTCTCATTATTGGCCACCCTATCCCCCAGTGCCTTCTCCTCCAGTGCAACCCAAACCTAAATCTCCGCCCCCTGCAACGCCTGCTCCCGAACCTGCTCCGGCTCCAGCCCCAGCCCCGGCTCCGGCTCCGGCTCCGGCTCCAGCCCCTGAACCTGCTCCCCCTCCACCACCGCCTCCACCGGTTGACACTGCCAAGGATGAGCAAATTGCGAGGCTAGAGAAGTTGATTTTGGACGACCGTCTAGATCGTGAAGCGAAAGAGCTTGCCAAACAGCAGGCTATTGAACGCGCGGCCGCCGAGAAAGCAGCCCAGGATGCGCAGACTGCGCATGATCGGAAGATTACCCAGGAAGCTGCGGCGCTTGCACGAGCGGATGCCGAAAAAAAGGCGGCGGAGGATGCCGCGAAGGCCAAGGAGGCAGCAGAGAAAGCCACCGCCGCGGCCGCTGCCGAGGCAGCAGCAGCAGCAACGGCCGCAGCTAATGAAGCAGCTGCCAAAGCGGCCGCAGAAGCTGCTGAGGCAGCTGCTAAGGCTGCCGAACCGCCCCCACCACCGCCGCCACCACCACCCCCAGAGAAGAAGCAGCCTATCAAATTCAAGGATGCTGTTGGGAGAAAATTCAGTTTTCCATTTGAACTATGTGCTACCTGGCAGGTATGTCAACCCCTCACTCCGGTCATATAGTTCTCTCGTCCTAATTTTAGTTATAGGGGATGGAAGAACTCATCCGGCAGGCTTTCCTCCATATTGAAGTCATTGGACCTCATGTCGCCGAGGGTCATTATGACCTTATTGGCCCGAATGGCGACATTATCCTCCCACAGGTTTGGGAAACTGTGGTCGAGCCTGACTGGGCTATCACTATGCACATGTGGCCAATTCCCGAAAAGCCAAAGGAAGACCCTCCTCCGCCTGCACCGGAACCGGCCCCTGTAAAACCTCCTGATCCGCCTGCGGAGCCGAAGAAGAAAGCAGATGGTAAGAATGTCACTCTCAAGCACTCCCAAAGACACGCGCTTACCTTTTCTCTAGCTCCTAAAAAAGCCAAGGCCAGAGGACCAGATGTCCCCGGGAGTTTCGCGATGTGGATGTTAGGTGGCACCAATCGCCGAGGGGGCAAAGGGGGTCCTAAAGTGGAAAAAAAGCCAGAAGTCCCTCCCCCGGCACCCGCACCATGACTGCGAATGAGAACTTGTTTTCGTCGCTCACCCTGCTTAGTCTGAGGCGATAATTGGTTAGGTTTCAGGTCGCTTTTGGCCATAATACCGGATAGACTTTCTGGGCAATGAGAGGCATGAACATTGGAATATGATGACGAATATGATCAGTGCCGGTACCTAATATGTTATAATACATCAAGAGAAATACTATTTACGCACCCCTACCAAAACTACTTTGTGTTATATGCTAGTTCTTTATAGATCGAATAGTACGGGGGTTATGGGCGGCCGCAGTTGTAGAGCAGAATAACTAATCTTCTAATGCTACGTAAATTATGACTATTGAAGCTCTGGGGAAGAAAATGATGATTCATTCTCTAGGGACCGTCGGGATATGCCCGTTAGGCATAGTCAATCTTTTTCTGCCGGTTAGATGACAAATAAAAGAGAGGCTTTTTTATATAGTACAAATAGTAGGATATAACGGAAAAACGGTGGTAAGGCGAATGTATATATGGCAGAAAAATCTCAATCAATTCTCTAACTCTCTAAAAATGATAATAGTCCCCCTAAACAAAAACCATTTGTGCTGGGACGGCCGGAACTGGCCCATTCTGGCGCTGAAAATGGCCCCCTCGGCACCACGCCTTTTCGCACGCACCCGCCCGGTCGCGACCACGCACAACGTCCCTTTATCCCCTTGTAACGGACGGTATAATAATACCCGAACGCCGGTCCACTTGAGCGCTTGCATTGGCACCATTCATTTCCCCCGCCCCCTTGTTACTCCCGTTGCCTGGGAGTACTTCGTCTTTTTCCGTGACCTTCCATTCAGTCACTCGCTCACTCCCTCAAACGCTCCCCCGTCTTTTGCGGTGCCAGAAATGGCGACCTTTCGTGGACCTGTCATTGGTTACGCTGGCCATAAGGTCGCCAGCCTTAAAACCGCCCACTTCCCTCGTCCTGCTCTCCCTCGTTTGCCTTCACCTTTTCCTTCCTACGCTCCCTCATTCTCCACGCTTTCGCTTTACACTCTTTTCTCTAAGACAGTTTCTCTTGTACCTTGAGCGATAATATTCTATGCTCCCTGTGTACCAGGTTTTGGATTTTCGACTAATAAGCCGAATAAAGTATATCTTCTGTATACGCTGATATCGAATTGTCGGGCCAGGCTCCGGAGGACGATAGTGACTCATTGTACGTATCTTTTCGGCCGGACTGTAGTGATAACGATGGATCAGACGGCGATCAAGCCCTAGCTTCGATAGCTCAGACCTTACCTAGGCCTTCCCGGTCTTCTGAATAATACGAAGGAGTCTCGGGTAGCTCTAAACCTAACGTACGCGGGCCGGTCCGCTCCGGGGTTTTGCTAGATTTCAGCGATGATCTAGATAACGATACTAACGAGGATATTGTAAACATTCCTCTTGACTATAGGCGTTCTGAGAAAACCAAGGTTCGCGGGGTTTGAATTGAGCAGCGCTAGCACAAGTAGGCGAATCTTCTTAAACTTACACTTAGATATAAACTAATATAAACTAGATACTACTAAGTAAAGGTTAAAACCCCTAATGTACTTTCGAAATAGAACGACCCGGTAGAGGCTCTTCGCTAGGTTACTCCTAATGATGTATATCGGTTTCTTAACTACTACCTGAAACTTAAGTATAGCGAAGGTAGTAGGTATTTAAAGGGTATAATAAAAGCTAGCGCCCTTAAAGCCGATTAGAAGAGTTTCTAAGGCTATTTCTAAAGAATAACCTATACTAGGATTAGTCCTAAAGATAGTGAAGAGATTAATACAGTAAGCTTCCTATCCTCTTACAATTTCTTAAGCTAATAAAATCAAGGGGATTCAGAAATTAATCGATAAATTTAGCCTTAATTAATAAGAGTGAGGTAAAGAACCAGTCTATATATAAGATTTAACTGAATTAAATAAAACTATTCTTTAGACCTAGGAAAGGCGGTTTTATTTTAGATATAAGTATATCTAAATATATCTCTTTAGTATACTTAGTATTTATACTATAAATCGACTGAGTGCCCTACTTTTATTATAATTAAAGTATCTATAGTTCTCTATATAGAAGGATCCTTAGGGTGGCCCTCCAGTACTTTTAGCAGAGATTAGGTTAGAGTATATAAAGCGGTTCCTTAGGTCTGAAGCTATATATATATACTTTATTTCCTAATCCTAGAAGGCTCAGTAATTGATTTTTTTAGTAATACTTTTCTATTCCCTAAAATTATCGATAACCTATCTCTTATCTTTAGCCTATATATATTTATATTTAGTATACTCTTCTGGCTGTAAGCTTTTAAGTCTCTAGCTCTTTTATCTATAGAGAGACTCTAAAGTCTTTTTATTTAAGGCAGTCACTAGTAGATACTACTCCTATTAAAACCTAAGGTTGAGGATCATTATATCTTTTATAAGATAGAAGTTATTAACAGGTATCTAGTTCTTCGATAGGATTAATATATTATTAATATTACTATATCTACTCGACTGAGGAATCTTAGAGAGATTTACAGTTAGCTTTATTCAATATTTGTATATTATATATACTATAGAGGTAGAAAGATATTAAATAATAGTGATACGGTTAGTAAAGCCTAGTAGAATCTAATTATAAAGTATATAGATTCCTATACCTTCTTAAAATATTACCTTCCTCGATATATTAATATAGATATATAAAGTGTAATAAACGGTTACAAATCTAATATATCTCTTATACACGTAATTACCTGTATAAGTAGGTAGATCGATATAAGGCGGCCTTAGTACCTAATAACCGAGTAATAGGCGTCGATCCGGGAATATCTAGAGTATCTTAAAGCGGTCTACCGATTAGATAAGTAGGCTAACGTTTATATCTATAACCCAAGTAAGGAGATACAATCGCAATATAATAAACTCGTATATAAAAAGCTCAATACCTTCGGCTAGCTAGAGAGGGTATTGAGATAGAAAATTCAAAAGGAGTTTAACTATAAATAAGCGAATATAGATATTAAGCGATAGCTCTCTAGAGCGGCTATTAATAATAAGGAAGCGAAGGACGCCCTATAAATAGATAGTATATTACTAGAGTAGATTAATCTTCTCGAGAAGCTGTTAACCTAGCCGACCTCCTATTCCTTAGAAGCTGAGTGGTAAAGATAAAATACAGCAGTCGTTATAATCTTATAATACTATTATTACCTTAAAGGTAGGCCGCTATATAGACAATATAAACGGTTAGCTCTAACTAATAAGCCTAATAAAGAGTAAACGATAATAGAAGGGAGAATAATAAAGACAACTTCTATCTTTCCTAAAATATTGTAAGAAGAGTTACTTCTAGAAAAGGCAGGGAAGTATATTTAGAAGGCTAAAAAACCTTGGCGATATTTTCAATATTATAGCGATACCTAGCTTCCTATTTATTATCGAACGCAAAAATATAGTAAGTATAAATCGACTTTATAATACTTTTAGGAAAAGTACTTAAAGGATCGGAAATGTTATATATATAGCGAGGATATTCTATACAAAATATATCTTTATAAGTACACAGAGGATATTTACTATCTTATTACTAATCGCAATTACTATATAAAAGAAGAATCAGGATTAGATATTAATATAGACTAAGGTGTGCAATTACCTTTAGCTTAGAAAATAATTTATCTTACTAATAATAAGAAAGGAGTATTAGTACTTAGGTCTAGGATATTCGATTTTTTTCGTCTTTAATATATATATTTATCACAATCTTTAGCAATTTCTATAGGCTAATAACTAGTACTTAAGAGCTAAAATGGTCTTAGGTAGTTATTATATATTCCGCTGACTAGAAATTTAGGTTATACTATTATACTAGATAGCTAAAAGCACAAATTGTTTGGTCAACCAGGCCTAAAGGAATTTATCCTAACAGAGCCCTCTTCTTTAAACTGCTAGCGGCAAATAGTCTTAATTGTAGGCCGTAAGGAGATAAGAATAAGGTATATAGCTCCTAGTATTCTTAACAATCCTCTATAGCCTAGATTTTCTTCTATGTTAATTATATTTGAAAAGAGGTCAATACTATAATTATATATATTATTATAGGCTGATTCTAGATTCAGGGTATTATTAGGAGGAATAAATTCAGTGCTACAAAATGTTTGTTAAGTAGGCCTAGACGTTATTTATTAGCTAGCTAGCTTCTAGACCTACTATAATACCCCTCCTAGCTAGACGACGGTATCAAGCCTTTCACCTCGTCCTATTATATAAGAGATAGGCGCTTATGATCTAGACCTGATTAGATAAGGATCACTCCTATTATTTACTTAAAAATATAAAGTTAAGGCTTAACCCCCGCAATTTTCTATCTTAAGTATATAATTTCTAACTATCCTAGTACTACACTACCTACTTATTATTAAGCGATACTTAATAGTAGAACCTATTAGTATAGCATCTGGCCTAGTAGCTTTAGCTATATTTATATTTTAATCTAGCACTGCCCTCTTCGATATGGTTTAAAGCTACTAATCTTATCTAAAACGTATCTACAATCTAACAGAGGAGCTTAAGACTCTAAATAGAGTTCTTAGCGCTCTAACAGAAACCTTGAATATAAATACCGATATAAACTTTACTAGCCTCGAATATCCCCTCCTTTATTATAGAAATACCTGCAGAGATTTTGAAAAGGAACTTAAAAAATATTCGATACAATCTCTTACTAGTAAAATAAGCTTTCGAGACTAGGCTAAATTAAAGTATATAGGCGAAGATATTAATGGTTTTAGATAGATATTAGCTAGTTATAAATCAACTATTATTATTACCCTTAATAATATAAATCTATAAATCACTTTATATATATTAGTTATATTTAAACTTATACTAATATACCTTTCTAGCCGATAGTTCTCTATTATAGCTGATAGCCTTAAAAGCTATAAGGAAATAATTGAAATTATAACTAATAATCTCAAAACTTATTTAGAGAGTATTAATAAAAAGCTTAAGAATA